CTTCCCCCCGCCCCCGCCCCCCCCCCCCCCCCCCCCCCCGAGTTTATATACTGAGCATGATGTCACATGGTATGGAATAGCCCTTTGGTCAGTTTGGATCAACTGTTCTGGCTGTGCCCCCTCCCAGTTTCTTGTGCACCTGGCAGAGCATGGGAAGCTGAAAAGTCCTTGACTAGCATAAGCAGTACTTAACACACTGGTGTTTTAGTTGCTATCAACATTCTTCTCATCCTAGATCCAAAACACAGCACTATGCCTGCTGCTAGGAAGAAAATTAACTTTATCCCAGCCAAAACCAGGACAGTGGTTTAAATATAAAATCAAATACTGAAATTATCTGATCTCCAGTATGGATAAATATAAAAGGGAAATCTGATAGCATCTTTGGTGTGTGAACAGCTCCTAATGCATTTGAACTTTGGGCAGTGATGAAATTCAGACTGTGGTAGCGATGAGATGTAAGACTTTTATGGGAAGTCTCCTTGAACTTTGATTTGACATGCCAGACCTGTAGAGTTCATATTTTGCCACCTACTTTTCTGAGGAGGGAGGAAGAAAACTAACATAAGCTCTTGTACTTCATAGTATCTTTTGTTATTAGAATATCGTGTTACAGGGCATTGCACTGTTACATGTTATTAGTGGGTAGGAAATTGAGAATACAGAAGTAAACTTTTAAGTATTGCATGTCTTGCTGATATTTGTGTGTCTTTTGGTTAAGGTTGTATGTCTTGCCTACCAAGGCTCTCACTCCTCAAGAGAAATCACCGAGTCCTCTGCAGTGGTGCAGGCGTGTTCTGGATCATCCAAGTCCTGAGATAGAGGCTGCAAAACGTTCCCTATGCTTTAGATTGGAACAAGGTAATCTTATTCTTTGAATTTCTTTACTATAAGTTGGTATTTTTGGGCTGGCATTTCGGTCATGTTTTCTGTTTTTCACAATTTAGCGAGCTTTATGAATGGCAGACATGCAGGTTTTTTTCCTATGTACTCAAGTCTTCCTCCACTACATAAATGCTAACAATTGTTTGAATTTTTTTTGCGATTGTGCATTTCTAAAGTGTTCTCCTCCTTTGTTATCCTTTTATTCCCCTGCATAACTCGTGATTTTTAAACTTGGCAGATTTCATCCGTTGCTTAAAATAGTGGACCTCTTGGCAAGAAAAAATTGATGCTAACTTTACTATTGGTATCTCTATTGAGATTTGAAAAACAGTGCTTTTGTCTTTTTGTAAAGCCAAAATTATCACGGTGCTATAAATTTTTAAAGCCATATCTGTCCACATCTAATGTAGTATCGGGAATTTGTTAAGTATTGGACAAACCAAGAAGGGCTGTAACTTAACTACTAGCACTGCTTTGTTGGGCTCTCAGTAGCCTCAAGTACTGGGATCAGTCTGATGGCTGTTCGGTGCCAGTGAACTTGTAGAGTTATATCTGTGTGTGCTGAATTTCGTTCTAAAAAAATATCAGGCACCATTATTTTTACTTTTTTACTGTGTAGGGTCCCATTAAGATTGTAATAAGTGTTGTTGAAGAGAGTGATTAAGGTAGGAAATAATATCTTAAGATCTGTAACTCGGTAGGAAAGAAGATGCGAATGAACAATATCGGAAGACAACAGGAGAAAGAAATAAAGCTAATGACAATATGAGCATATGGTTGTATAAGCTAGCTACAGCCGTCATTAAGAGAGATTGAGCATATACCTATACGCTTTGGAGGATATGGGTAGTTGTGGATTAGTCTCATCCAAAATCAGGCATTTAACTGAATCAGTCTCTGAAGGCGTCTGTCTCTCTGCATTGACTATAACAGATCCTACAATGGTTATTGTCCTAGCGATATGCAGTTGAGCTCATTTGCCTAAAGTTAGGTGGACCAAACTGTGGTTCCTATGTTGGTAATCATCCCACCTAGCCTCAGGATGGAATTTGCCTCCCAATTTGGACACCTGAGTTTGGGTGTCTGTGCGTGGCAGTAAATGGGAGTTTCGTCCACAGAGTCGGAGGAATCGGGGGAGCTGCTCAGGTGACGAGATGTAGGTGTTGGCCTTAAGATGAAGTCAACAGCTCTCTCAAGTCCACTGACAAGTAGCAAGTGCTTGGCACTCAGCTCCCATTTGGTCACCTGAAGGTATGTCTGTGTGGTGCAGGGTGTCCCCAGTCCGGCACTGAATCCCGGTGTAGAGGCTCCATTGGGACTGCCCCACGTAGTGCCATTCGAGACGTCCTGGGCTACCCTGGCTGACTTCCAGTCCTGTGCCCTATATCTGCCATTCCTTTGATATCTTGGCCTCCCAAGGGCCTCTCAGATGGGCCAGTGCACCTCGGTATGGGCAATTGAATCGAGTCCGTAATGTGAATGTAGAAACAAGCCAGAGGAATGCATGACCTATTTTTCCTTTACAAGGTATTATTTGAATTTAATAGGCACTAAAGGCATTAGAAAGGCAAATTTATTGTTTCAAATTTAAATCACTCTGTGGTTATCAGTTCAGTCTCTCTCTGTGCAGAAGTCACGTTGAGTGATGTGTCACGTAGATTTATGTTGACAATGAGTTGCTTTGATTGTAGAAAGTTTCTGAGAAATTATATGCCACGTATAAAACCCATTATGGGAGCAGTATGTTCAAGGATGGAATGGACTTCTGTTTCTACTGCAGCAATTCTATGATAAAGTTGTTTTAATTAATAATTCAGTTAGACTTGATTAACATTTGTATATCTAAAGATTTTCTTTTTATCACCTATACCTTTAGAAATAATATGTAATAAGCAAATGTCATTTCTTACCCTAACTTTGTAGAAGTTGGCTTGAAACCAGGTGTGAGATTGTTGTAAGAATCTAATAATTCTGTTTTAAAGTACAACAGACTTTCTGTAATCTGACTTTCCTGGGTTTTGTTTTGCAGCCCACTCTATCAGTAAGTATATGTGTATAAATACATATACATAATTTTATCCTAATTTTAAAAATAACTCAGTAAGAATGGCATTCTTCTTTCCCGGTGCTACAGTTTCAAACTTTGTACTTGTGAGTTGAACAGCATTTTTCCCCTTTAGCCATATGCCTTGAAAGGGCATTTTAGAGGGCTTTTGAAATCTAGTTGTACCTTTTCTGTTTGGCAGTGAGTCAATGGTAACACTGATGCACTTGAGAATTATTAAATGTGTAGTCAAAAACATTCATAATGTACCTATCTGTGATTTCTGAAATGGTTTATAGGTAGAATTCACTTAGTAATTTTGTCCATTGTGCATTAGCCAAAAATTAATCCAGTTTAGATTGTCATAGCTCTTTAGGTACTGTAGTACACATAGAAATAAAAAGCAGTAAGAATTGATTTTTGTCTGGAAAGTCAGCATATCTGAATGAATGTGCACAGAGAGAAGAGCTGTGAGCCAAAAGAAGTAAAATTTTGTCAGGCTGTTTTTCTGCCTCTTAACTAATTTATTCTCTCTTCTACGATTTTTAAACCTATGATCATTTGTTCCTGCTCATGTAATTTTTCTTATTACATTATATCCTTATTTCCATAAAAGTATTCATTTGTTGTCTGAAATATCCCAGCATGAGGATAGCTCACAACAAGGGTAGAGGTCTTGTGAGAGACTTCTGCCAAAGCAATCCTAGGCAATGAAATAATACAATGATTACTTTCAGGTCTTTCAGGCTGGAGAATCACTTGAATGATGCTAGTTTATCTTTCACCTTGTTGTGCTCACCAGCCTGTTTCTTTTCTAGTGGAAGTGACTGTTCTAAGTATTTCATGGTGGAAGTAAAATTTCATAAATCTTTAAGGGTATAAGCACAGGGGTGGTCTCCAGCAGGTGGTTCTTCTGTTGAACCATTGTGAGAACTTGGACAAGCTTCTCAACCTTCCTCTGGTCTACCACCATGTAGGTAAAGCTTTTATTGAGTTTATAATGAACTAGGCTAATTACAAGCCCTGTTTCTGTAGATTAGGCGTGCTAGCTTTAAGGAGGATAGAAGTAAATGTAACCTCCTATGATAATATCTTTGCTTGGAATTGTTCCTGTTTTCCATGAGCAATTGTAGTGTTGAGGTAGTATTTGTTTGGTTATTTTTTCTCCATAGCCTGACCTGGATCACTTCTTTCTTTTTGCTCTTCTTCAATCATCTTTTGTTTGAAACCTTTCTGGTTTGTTTTGTTTACAGCAGTTCTCTATCTACTGTAGGGTCAGTTCCCTTCAGTTTTTAGTCTTGCTGTCTGTTTTATTTCTTTAGATTCATGCAAATCAACAGGGCCATATCATAGTCTTAACATTGTGGTGGAGCTTCTATATTTTCTTGGTAGTACTTGGAGATGTTGGGACATGCCAGTATTAAGCCCAGTGAGCAGAGAGATACAATGTGCGAACTTCCTAGTTGGTGCAGATGGGTATAAAATCCTCTGAGATCGATGAGATGGTGTTGATTGACACCCTGGCTGAAGATCAACTGTATAGCTTCACTTCTGTAAAATGCTCTGGAGGAAGCGGATGGATAACTGAGGAGTTAAGAGGCTTAGCAAGCAGTCAGTCTGTAGGAGCTCAGCTTTTATGCAGGGCTTCAAAGCGTATCTCATCCAATTCAGCCTTCCAGACAGAAACCTTCTCTTTCTTGGAGAACATGAAGTATTGGCTAGATTCAGAGTTTGGCTTAGATGAGTTCTTATTCAGAAATGCTGCTTCAGATGTTTAAAAAGAGTAGGCAACAGAAGTCTGTAGGTTTTGCAATTGGCTTCAGTAATTTATAGTCTTAAGATTAAACTCTGCTTCGTTTCTTAAAACGAGTCAGTGTGCTTCAGGGTGAATGCTGTTACGTCGTCTGTGGATGATAAGGTATGTTGTGAAACAGATCCATTGTAGTTTCTCTCCAATTGCTTATGATTTCACAAAAGCCAAGAATCTCATCAGTGAAATTTTACCTTTTATTGTGCTGGATCCCAATGTCACATGTCAGTTAAGTTTGTCCAAATTTATAACATATCCAGAAGAAAAACTGGTGGGGTGGGAGAAGATTTAATTTGGTGGTATTAGATTCTTTTTACCTGTAAAAACCAAAACTCTTACAGCTAGTAGGGCCTCAGGCAGAAGGTTTTTACCTATGAAACTTGTTGCTTACACAGAAAGAGGCCATGTTTGGTCCCATTCTCCTAATTCACTTCCCCTTCCCAAGGGTTCGTAGTGAAGTCATTTGGTTTGGAGTCTTTATGACGTAAAATACTTTCCATCAATGTGGAATTGCTGTCATAGGGAAATTTTACACTTTAGTCTGTTAACAGCAGAAGCAAACATAAAATACTGTAAATAGAAGAACGCTTTTATTTGGTATGCTTGAGCTGGATCCAGTGCTGCACCCAGTACAGGGTGGGATTTTTTTATTATTCTAAAATATGTTTAAGTTTATTTGCTGTCCATTGATGCATCGGAGATGTATGTTCTAGCACTCAGGACTGGATTAATAAGATTTAGTACAGCTTTCTCATCCTTATTTTTCATATGTAATGGAGATTAAAGTTTTATGTAAAAATGCTTTTGGGGTAGCAAATGATAACGTGCTGAAGCTTGCAGATGATTGGATTGTTGTTTCCATCATAAATAATAACATTTCTAAAGCTCTAGAAGGAATGAAAGAAGTGGCATGACTGATTTGTTTCCTTTCTGTATATGTTTCTGATAATAAAGGGTGATGAGCAACAGTAACTACTGTCAGCATCTGAGCATCTTTCAGGGAATGTGACATCTCGGAGGACAGGATGCATAGCAATCTTCTGCTGCAGTACAAGCTTAGTGCTCAGAGTGCACTTATACATGCACAAGAGTTATTTCCTATTAGATTTTATTTGTTTGATG